TCTGCTTTGTCTAAAAAGTAAGTCACTTTCATTTCCAGGGGTTGGGTTAGCAGTGTAGGAAACAGAGGTTTGGCCATGAGATTTAAATGAATCTAAACGGGGATTTCTGGAGAGTTTCTCTGCTCTTAAAAAAGATACCAAAGACAAAATTCTGTCTTCCTCCGCTGCGGTAACCACCTTTCAGCAATATGGCTGAGTCTTGGGAAAGGGCTCCCACTGAGGGTCGCTGCAGAGAGAATTACAAGGTGGGTTCTTGATGAGGTTGTGGAGCCGGCACTAGACACTGCCTCGTCTCTGGATTTGTTATTAAATGAGAGAATGCATTTTCATATCGTTTAAACTAGTTTGATTCTGGGTTTTGTTTTTTACAGGGCAAAACATTTGAACTCGTCTCTGGATTTGTTATTAAGTGAGAGAATGCATTTTCATATTGTTTAAACTAGTTTGATTCTGGGTTTTGTTTTTTACAGGGCAAAACATTTGAACTAGTACATAATTATTCCTCCCTAATCATAACCTGAGAGAAAGACAAAGCTTTCTACCTCGCAAAGGATTATAGTCTCAGGAATCCACAGGGGCAGTTCTACAAGGTCCTGTAGGATCACTATCGGTCAGAATTGACTCGACGGCAGTGAGGTTTTCGTTCGTTTTCTTTTTAATAACCATCTGTGACAGTTAAGTTTTGTGTCAACTTGACTGAGCCAAAATTCTCAGTGAATTGACATTTAAGGTCTAAGAATCCCCTGTGATGTGCCCTAACACAGAGTAATCAACTCAGTAATGAGCTCTGCTGTGAACAGCCAATTAGTTGCAAGAAAATTAGGGGGGCTTGCAACCCTTCTACTAAGGTTGAAGCCCTGATGATATTTCCTTCCTACATAAGTTTCCTCTTTGGAGAGCTTGTTTGCATCTCTCTGGATCTGGATTCTGCATCTTGCACATTGACTCCAGTTCTTTCGACTTGAACCAAGGGTTCATCATATTTGTTGTCAACCTTGGGAGCCAAAAGCAGCCTGCTATCTGGCTTGTCCTCTCACCTACCAACCTTGAATTCTCTGGACTTGGTAACTCTGAGCCTGACCTGTTGACCTTAGATTCATCTGCCTTGACATCCATTAGCCTGTGGTCTTCCTGCTTCCTGGTTTGTCAGCCTCCCTACAGCTGTGTGAATCAGGAGCCTCCAACTTAATGTCTGACCAATGGCTTTCAACGGAACCAGACCTACTTGCTTCTACAATTGTGTGAGCTATTTTCTTGATATAAATTTCTTCCTATATATATAAAAATAAAATACTTATAAATCTCTCTCCCTCTGGTTTTGCTTCTCTTGAGAAGTCAGCCTTTTCTCTTACCTGAGTTTTTATATATTTTTTGCTCATATCTAAGGTCTACAAGAAGTCTATTGGATACTTATTATACTTTCTTAGTGCTCTAAAAATATGTTAACTTTTTATATAATTACATATTACTAATGAATTCAGAGTGTGTACTCTTAGTACAGGTTCCGGTGGTAATACTGATTCCTTTGATCTTTCTGGGGCTTGGAGTGGCTGCAGACTTGGTGCAAGACATCCTGGGCCTGGCTAGCCCTTTTATTTACTCAAGTATGTTGAACAAATACCGTCTTCAAGCATGTGCATAAAATTAATACATTTTATTGTTTATTTCAGAGTAACTTGAAAGAACAGTTAATAATGCTAAAATAAAAATTGACGTGAATGGGAGAGCAGCCTGCAGTTAACTGTATTTCTCTTTATCCCATATCCCTTTCATGTTCCGTAGTCACTGCCCTCATTTCTCAGTGGGAATAAGGAAGGAACAGCAAATGCCAGATCCCCAGCAAGAACATAATGACCTGAATTCCACATCTGCCTCTAAATCTTCAAGTAAATTTTCTACACTCTCTCATCTCCTAAATAGGAGGCTGAGATGAGCTGATCTATTCAGACCAAGTTCCTTATTTTGATAAAAAGGTCCCTACATCTATCTATTAGCATGTTTGCTGGTTCTTCATAAGTGAATTATATTTCTCACTCAAGGTCTTCTAACTTTCCTTTCATGCTATTTATTATACATTAGAATTAGCCTTCCAAATTTTTGTTTTGCAATTTGTAAATGGTAGATTTACAATTTGTCATTTGTAAATGGTAGATTCTGAAAATGGTAGCTGGGCACAGTCAAGAATTCATGTTTATCCCCACAGGTAATTAATAATAAGGTGTTACATACTTAAACTAAAAAGGAAGTTTGTGTGGGAGAATAGGAGGAGGTTAAGAGAGAAACAATTTATTCCAGTAGTAAATTTATGAAACCATGCTACCACAAAAAGACCTTATGAAGTCCAATGTAAAGTGGTATTTTTTTAAACATACACAAAATAAAATTATTTTGTTTTGAGGGTAGCTAAGATTCTGAATGATTTAGGGTCTTACCCCTTTTTGTCCCCTAACACAACCCACACTTTAAAAAATAGCCCTTAACTGTGTGTGTGGCAGAGGGTCAAGGTGGGGGGTAGGTGGTGAGGCTGTGTGCACACACATGGATAGGAATGACTGGTCTGAAAGACTAAGTTGGAAAAGGCTAAAGAAACTGTTTGTCTCTTTTTCAAAGATATCTCTGAAAGACATGATGATTCATTTACTTGCTAGTGTAAAAATATTTACCACAAGTCTCTACAAAGTTGAGATATTTCAGCCCAAAGAAGACAACGTGTTTCACACTTAAAAGCATGATAGACTATAACTACCAGTGAGGTGATTCAACAAGCTGTGGAGTTTTAAATATCTCTGATATAACCCGAAAGGAACATGATCTAAAATGTAAAAAGCTTCTTATCTAAGCAAAAGAACGTGTGGGTCATTTTAACAAAACCCATGTCTGCATATACTCTATCCTATGGGACGACCAATTAAGTAGCCCCAGGGGTTCACTTCCTTTTTTTTTTTTTTGCTTTGAAGTACCCTACACGGAACCAGTTTAAGGGTTCTTCTGATTAGCTTTAATGCAGTGGGAAAATGGCAGTTTTGAGGTATCATACCATGCAGATGATACACTTTCTCTGTATTAATCAAAAGCACATCGTTCAATATTGAAACTTTCTCTGGAAGGGAAGTGTATTTGAACTCTAAATGGCATTGCGGCCGTTCGCTTTTTCATTCAATAATCATTTACTGCATGCTTATCTAAACACGGGGTATAGGCTTTTTTAAAAGGTCATGATTGGTCTCCTGGAGCTTGCACTCTTGGGAGTGCAAGGGGAGATAATTAACTAAAATAGCAAATAAGAAAGTTTGGCAGCGACAAGAGCTTTGAAGACGAGGGAGCCGGGGTAAGTCTCCAGGGAGCCGATTGTGTTTGTGGTTATTTCAGACTGTGTATCAGGGAAGGGATCTGTGTAGACGTGACATTTGGGCTGAGACCTAAATAGCAAGAAGGAACTAGCAGGTCATTGTACTGGACAGAAGATACAGTTCACGTGAAGAACATGCACAAGTCCTGGTGAGCGACGCTGGAAGGAACTTGGAAATTTCCAAGAAAGGGATGAGGAAGGCGCGTGACCGCAGCACGGTGAGCAAGGTTAGAATACGAGGTTCCCACGTCTGGCAAAGAGTTTAGCTTTTATTCTCTGTACCAATGGTGTCCTTGGAGGTTTTGAGAAGAGGTGGCACATTTTAAAATGCAGCACTGTAAAATGCAGCGTACTACCCAAAAAACAAATCCACACCCCTGTGTGCTACCATTTTTTTTGGGGGGGGGTGTCTTTGAAATCCAAATTCTAGCTCCAGAGATTGTCCAACACCCAGGTCGCCGCTCCTGTTTGCCCAGGCCCTGTGCTCGCTGCGGCGCGTTGGCACCGACGCCCTCCTGTTGACAGCCTCGGAGCGTGTGACAGTTGGCCGGCGTGGAGGAGCAGCCAGAGACTAGTCACTGCAGGGCGGGGGCTGCGGGAAGGGACCGGGGGAGCGGGGGGGAGGCAGCTGCTACGGCAGAGCTGGGAAGGCGGCTGCCTCCCCTACCAGAGGAGCGGGGAAGCGCGCAGGGCTAAAAAGGTGAGGAAGCGGCCGAGGAGCCAGATGTCCGCCTGCTTGACCCTTCTCTGCGCCTTCCCAGAGGCTGCGGGGGCTGCCCCGATTTGACGTCGGGGACAATGGTGGCTAGGGACTGGAAGCGATTGCGCAACGACTAAAGGGGTCTCGGTTTCCTGGGCCTGGCGCTGCAGGCCCCCGCGCCCGCCCCGCACCCCCGGGCGCCGCAGGTGGTGATTTATGTCTCTGCCCCGGCAGTCGGCCGGCCCACATCCTGCGGCGCGCGAGGCCCCAGGCCGCTCGATCCGGCACCGCGTTTTGTGATCTGCTCGCAGACGAGGCTTCCCGGGAGTCCGCAGCTAGCGGCGTGCGGGAACCTGGGCGCGCCGGGCCTGGTTGGGCTACTACCACCCCGGTCTCCAGGACACCACGACTGTTTGGGGCCATTCTGCTGTGGGTGCCCAAGACTGCCGAGAAGACCGTGGCGCCTGCCCTTGGGCCTCAGAGAACCGAGGTCCCCGGATCCAATTTTCCGAAGGACATCGAAGCTTCGCCACCTGGAGAGCGGCCTCAGCCCGCTGGCTTGTTCGCCTTCAAATCTCAGCGGGGTCACATCCGCAAGACTCCTGGGGGCGCCACCCGACTCAGCCACCCCCTCACTCTGCAGTCCCATCAGCCAGTGCACTGCGGCACCCAGACAATGCACCGCGGCGCATTCGATTCGGTCTAACGTGTCTCCCGTGTTTGCTTATTGCTGGTTTCTGGGACTTTGGCGCCACAGGGCAGAGACCATGTTTTTCCGGGCCCGTGCGGGGTTCCTGGCGCCTTGGACTGGGCCGGACGCAGTTCCCCCTGACATTTGATGGAGGACGGAACGCCGTCTGCGGCGGGCGAGAACACAGAGCCGCAGGCCCTTTGGACGGGGGCGGGGCTTACGTTAACCCCGCCCCCGCCCCCTGCCTTTCCCCCAGGGCTGAACCTCGCTTTTCGCTCCAGCCCCCGCTTACTCGTTTTGCAGCCACTTCGAAAACCCGGAGCAGAGAAAGACCGGAGCGGCTCCGCTCCTCGCGGCACCTCCCCAGCATCCCTGGGCGTCCAAGCTGGGCATGCTCAGTCGACAGGGCCCCTTCAGCTCGCGGAGTCGGAAGCTCGGGCGCTACGGATGCGAGGCCCTGTGGCGGGGGCAAAATGGAGCCCTTTACCAATGGTGAGTGGGCGCGCTGGGCTCTCCCGGCCTTGAGGGTGGAGGGCAGGCGGGGTCGGGCTCTCCGGGAGCGTTGGGGGGGAAGGAGGTGCGGGTCTGGGAAGTGGCTGGAGGCTCTCACCCGGCGGGCGCGGGCAGAACCGGGTCCTCCTCGCAGGTCGGTGTCGCCCTGACCTGGGGGTGAGGACCGTTCGGGTGCGGTCGGGGGGCGGGCGGGCCGGCCGAACGCAAAGTTTGGGCCGCTGTACGCCGAGGAGGGAGGGGGCGGAGGGAAAGTTGGCAGCCCGTTTGTGCTCTGGGCGCGGGAGGTTGTCTGCTGAGCTCAGGAACCACAAGCGTTAAACCACGGCCCCAGCCAAACCCACCTCCCCGGGGCCCCCGGAGCTGTGCCCCTGCCCTGCAACGCGTGGCCGCCGTGACTTTTCCTAATGGGGAGGTGCGGGGGCGGGGAGGGGGGGCTTGGCTGGCACATTTAGTGGAAGGAAAGGGAAGCTTGTCGCCAGGCTTGCTCGCACCCAGTCCCGCCGACGGGGCGCCTGCGCCCCGGCCGCCCCGGCGCTCTGCAGGGCGTGCAAGCCTCCTTTTCCCCCACGCCCACAGTATCAGTTTTCAGTAGAGGGCTCATTAATTTTCAAGGGTTCCGTCCCTGTGATAGCACTGTGTGACTTGAGGGGAAGACTCTTAAGTGGGAGTCGGAGCGATTCCGGGCAAACGGCCACAGCCCCTTTCCGGAGAGAATAAATCCCACCATGGTTTAAACGCCGGCTTTTGTTTGGACTGCAAGTACTGGAGTCACAAGGTAAGGTGAGAAGTCAGTGGTTTCTCGCAGGGTGGGAGTACCGCGTGGATTCCCTCTTAGGAATCGAGTTGATTCCGAGTAGGAAAACTACCCAAAAGGGAGACTTCGCTCAAAAATTAAGGGGTTCACTTTTCCGTTGACGTGTGTCTCCCTGCAGTTGGTTGATTACTTCAGGTTGTTGCATTTTGGCATTGATAGAAGCAGAAGTGATTCGTATCCCAGTTTGGGCAGGCCAGTTGTTACCTAAGAGACCGACATTGCCAGCTAGATCCCAAACAGCAGCTCCCTGTTGTTTCATTCATGAGATTGATTATGCAAACCACTTATTATATTCTCCCTGTCCCTAATTTGGAATGCTTAATGCTACTGCCATTTTCCTGTCTGTACTGTTTAATTAGGCTTAATGGTAACAACTTTAATTCTGATTTTTCCTTCTCATTCAGGCTCTATTTGAATTACTAAAGTTTTAAGAATAATCGGTAAAGTTACTGAGAGAATTAAGGAAGATTGGAACTCAACGGAACGCTAGAGACTTTAGTGTGTTTACTATAAGCTGTTCAGTCTTTGCGATTGAAGAGTCCAGAGCCTAGGCTTCCATAGCATGGTCTTTGTTCTAGGAGGATGCTTGGAGACTCTGCTGTATACATAAATATGAACTTTGATGTAAATGCAGTCTCCACAGCAAGGCCGAGGCACCATTTGGTCAAGTTTAGGCCTGTCCTGATTTGGTGAGCCTTCAACAGGCTTAAGGCTTTGGCTTTTTTCCCTCTCATTGAATATCCTTCTCTAGATGTTAATATTTGCAAAGTTGTTACATTTGGGAGCACACTGAAAAAAATCCCTGAGAGAACAATAAAGAAATAATTCTTCAAACCCCCCCATGTAGGAAATTGGATTTCTGGTCCTTTCCTACTGGCCTTCCAGATTTTCAAACTCTATATTGGAGACAACTGACATCCTCTTAGTTATATAGAAATCATTTCTTGAAGCCTTATCTATGGTCTTTTAACAAGGCAAATAGAAACACAACATCTACTTCACTGCCATCCAGTCAGTTCCTTCTCAGGCTTAAGGTGGACCTGTATTTATTTCATAACCTTCGAAGGCATCTCTAGACTTTTCTAGGCTGTTCAAGCATGACATGGTCTAGTGGAAGGTTTATCTTTGTAGATAAACCTTTTGAGTAAAAGGATTGTTAGGTGCTGCCAAGCGGGTTCCAACTCATAGCAACCCTGTGCACAGAGAATGAAACATTACCCAGACCTGGACCTTCCTCACCATTGTTGTTGTGTTTGAACCCGTTGTTGTAGCCACTGTGTTAGTCCACCTTGTCAGGGACTTTCCTCTTTTGCTCCACCCCTCTACTTTACCAAACATGATATATGTCCCTTGTACATGTTCTTTTCCCATAGGTTCTGGTGTGGAGTATTTCATTATCTAGTATATGTGCATTTCAAGATTTATTAAGTCGGTATTAGCATATGTTATACATTGATTCTCTTTTAACAAAAATTTCACCATGTGTTACACTCTCATATTCCTATAAGAGATGTGGACGCTAAGTCAAAAAAAGAGCTTAAATGAATCAGGGCAGCCTATCTGTCTTTCAGTTAAATTCTTGTCCTGGGTTTTAATTTCTGCCCTACAAGTTTGAAAACACCCAAACCAACTACCATCGGGTTGATTCTGACTATGGCAATCCTATATAGGGTTTCCAAAGCTGTACATCTTTATGGGATCTTTCTCCTGAGTGGCTGGTGGATCGAACTGCAGACCTTGTAGTTAGCAGGCCAATACTTTTAACTGCTAGGGCCACTGGTATCCTTTTAACTTTGTGAAGGAGGCAGATGTAGTTTTGTGTTGTCACTCCTGCCTTCAGCATTCATCTGTTGCAGTGGGACTTTATGCACTTCCCTGCTTTGTGTCAACACTTGCTGTTGTCTTAGCCAATTTTTTCTTTCTGGTCCTGTTCTCTGCTTATAGTGAGTTTATGTGACATGGACACCAGTCTGTCCAAGGCAACACACTGCTGCAACGCATTTAAAATTCACGTCTCTTGAAAGGCTTTTTAAGAGGGACTTTATGCCAAGAATTTGGCTCAGGGGATATTTTTGGCCTTGCCCTTGGGAGATACTGCTGACTGTTATTCTGAAAGATGGGACTTCCGGTCTTGCTTTGCATCTTTGGTGACCTCTTTTTTAAAATGAGGAATGAAGTGTGCTAGACCAGTTAGTGCTAAAGTGGCTTGGCAATGACTTGTGTCCTGTTAGGCAGGTGGAGGTGAAACTATTTCATACTGTTAAAGATTTGATGGCCCTGCCTTTAGACTTTTGATAGAAGTACTAGACAAGAGGAAGTAAGTATTTGATGCCTATCTTTGTTTTTGTTTGCATTCCGGGCTGGGATATTTCAGAGTAATTTGAGTTAATGCAGATGCTGGGGCTCACGCTCAAAATCTGATTTAGTAGAGCTGACTTGGGCCCAGGACTCTGCATCTACATCTTGAGGATTTTAGAAATATTCACCAGAAAGGAGTTTTTAGAAAGTTTATTAGATAAGCAAATTCAAGATGAAGGAAAACATAGTGACAGAAAAGGGCTGTTTTGTTTTGTTTTTGGTGGTTATATATTTTACCCCTATATTTTTTAGTTTATTGTAGGGCTTGAAGAAACTCTAGAGGTTAGAAAAATATTTGTTTTGAAGAACTAAAAACCAGAAGTAAACACAAGGAGTCCTGATGGCGTTGTGGGCTACACATTGGGCTGCTGACTACAAAACCAGGGGTTCAGACCCCCTAGAAAGAGGAAGGACTCTGCCCCATAGAGATTTAAAGCCTGGGAAAACCAAAGGGGCAGTTCTACTCTGTCCTACCGGGTTGCTATGAGTCAGAAGGGTAGTGAGTAAGAAGTAAGAACATAATTTAAGCAGTTTATCTTTTTTCCTATGAACGGAGCCCCCAGGAATTAATGTTAGCATTATAGCCTGGCACATAATTAAACAACTAGGACATCTCTGACTTGACAAAATTATTTTTGTTTTTAACTTCCAAAATGGGAATTCTGCACAATTTGGATATGTGTAGCTTGTAAGGCAGTATAAAATTCTCTCTCTGTGTTTTTTAAATCTTACAAATATGATCCTGTAGGTACACATTTCATGAAAAAAAATAGTGTCTATCAAAAATGTGACCTTACCACGTTTTTGTTTACACAGTTGTTGTTTTTTTTGTTCAATTAGGAAATGGAATGTTGTTGTTTCTCTGTGCAATGAAGTAGAAATTCTGTTTTGTCCTCAAGGTGTTTTTCTTTTAACTGCAGCGAGGGGAACTAGACTATATAGGATTGAGTGTTCACAGTATTGACAATCTAATATTGTGTTTAACTGTAAAGTTCTCTACTCTAATCCCCATCCCCAAACCCCTGTATGGAGACCAGTGATTATCATTTATGTATCTAGATAATCTTGGAGTGCCCGGCCTCAAAGATTAAGAGCCAGAAAGTCTGGTTATAAGGAAAGTGTTATGTAGAGATTAAACAAGAAATGAGTTCTTGCTCAGATACCTTTTTTTTGAAGTCAGTCAGATACCATCTTTTTGAATGACCATTTACAAATAGATTTTTGCTTAGGGACCAAAATACCCACAAACCTGTCATGAATAATGTTAACCTAGTGAAATAAATGGATCAGAAAAAGCTACCTTTGTTTTCATGCTAATATTGAAAGATAGAGGAAGTAAAGAACCAATAAAACTTTGTCAAAGACACTATCTAATTATAAAAAATATATACAATTGTTTTAAAATTCTGTTCATGTAACATCTGGCACCACTGATCCCATCTCTCTACTGATTTAGTATAGTAGTTCTATTAGGAAAAAGTAACATTTGACACTATGAAATCATTAAAATATTGAGAGATAGAAGGTCTTGGCCCAAATGACCATAGAAGAAGTTGGGATAGAGCCTCTGGTTCTTAGGAGCTGAGATGAGGGCTGTACAGCCTGGCCTGTCACTTAGTTGCCTCATATCTGGAAGACTGTATGAGGTTGCAGGTCAATTACTGCTAGAGCTTTGCAGCAATGGGACAACCAGAGAAAGGCCGTTTGTTGTCTGTTTAAATCGGGTAACTAGATATGCCCCTTCCTTTAGATCTCACAGGAAGCCAAGAATGGAAGTGTAATAAGTACATTTTTTGCCATCAATATT